CCCGGAAATATAAGTATATAGTTATAATATATTAGTAATATTTATACTTGGTGCAATATAAGTGCCTAATTATTGGGATGTTACAATTTTTTGGGTGTTTAAGTTACTTTTGGCTAGATTCGGTTAAAAAATATTTGGGTTTTATAGATTTTTGAGTATTTTTCAATACTTTGCAAAGAGTCGGATACAAAATTTTTAATATTTGGATACTTCGGGTAAACCCGAATCCGAACCCGAAATATCCGATCCGAACCTGACCCGAACCCAAAGTTTTAAAATACTCGAACGGGTCTTAGTTTTTATACCCGAAAAATCCGAACCCGAAAAACTCGACCCCGAACCCGACCCGAATATCCGAACGCCCAGGCCTAATAACATATATACCCTTCATTAGTGATTTAGTTGACATGGTCTTGTGTTTCAGGTGCTTACATTCTGCTGTGATCCTATACCGGTGTTCAAGAACCTGACTCAACTATCAATTAAGACTGGCCCGGAACTAGGATGGGAATCGTTGCCAGGTCTGCTTAACAAGTCTCCACTGCTAGAAACCCTCTTCCTCAAGGTGATAAATGAAACCTCTGTACCTCCGCAGGTGGAGAGGAGATTTGAATGTGGAGGAGGAGCTGATGAAGATAGAAAGACATTAATGGAGCAGGTGAAACATTTCTTGGAGGAAATGAAACTTGAAGAATAGATACAAGACGGCCAGACATAATCTGCTCTTCTTGAAAAAGTTACTCGCCCAAGTACTCATTGATCAGCCTTGGTTTTCAAAGTTTGGGATCTATAGTTTTAATGTCAATCTTTTGGTTTCCGAAACCAAAACTAAGTAGATTTTGTTATAAGCTACAACTGAAACCCCTTTTTCTAAGTTTTCTAAAGTTTGGGTAAGTTTGAAGAACCAGTGAACTATGAGAGATAATGCAATCGTTGACAGGTGTCCAGTTTAATGCAGTCTTCGACAGGTGTCCAGTTTTTTTATGTTGCGGTCGGAGTAGAGAGTAGCTACCTCCTTGCATCACGTGAGATTCTTCCTTTATCCTTAAGCAATTAATAGGACTAGATCGAAACCCGCGCTACGCTGCGGAATACTTTTTAAAAAAATTTTATTATTCAAACAATCAAAATCAAAGTAGTATAATTGCAAAAAAAAAAAAATCAAAAGAAAGAGGATATGATTATGGTCTAATTACAAATATGTTTACTTGTCTAAGAGCTTGATAACATATAGGCCTGGGCATATTATCCGAATCCGAAGAACCGAACCGAACCCGACCCAAAAAACCATATCCGAATCCGAATCCGAAGTTTTAAAATACCCGAACGGGTTCTAAACTTCACAACCCAAAAATCCGAACCCGAATCCTAACCCGAACAAGTATCCGAACATACCCAAAATATAAGTACATAGTTATAATATATTAGTAATATTTATACTTGTAAAAATTTAAGTGCCTAAATTATTTGGATGTTAAAATTTTTTGGGTGTTTTAGTTACTTTTGGCTAGATTCGGTTAAAAAATACTTGGGTTTTATAGATTTTTGAGTATTTTTCAATACTTTGCAAAGAGTCGGATACAAAATTTTTAATATTTGGATACTTTGGGTAAACCCGAATCCGAACCCGAAATATCCGATCCGAACCCGACCCAAACCCAAAGTTTTAAAATACCCGAACGGGTCTTAGTTTTTATACCCGAAAAATCCGAACCCGAAAAACTCGACCCGAACCCGACCCGAATATCCGAACGCCCAGGCCTAATAACATATATACCCTTCATCTTTGTTATGCTTTGAAGAATATAAATAAGGTTATCCACATAAATTCAGCCCATAAGATAACATAAAGAACACTCAAGAATAATAAAGTTTGTTACATTGACTTTATTATTAGAATCAGTCAATTTGTCGATCACGAGAGACATCAATCTCTTTCGAGAAAAATCATAACTGTCTGGATTTAAATTCAAATATATATATATTTTTATATAAGAATACATGATTTTGATGAAACTTATTAGATAAAGACATAAAGTTAATTGAACACAAGTTATGAAAATTACATGAATATATAGAAATAACAAAAGATGGGTCATGCTTTGTTATGGGTTCTAAAAATGAATAGGCTAAACAATTCACAAACATTTGTTAGAATAATTTGGTTCGTGACTTAAAATTAGAATGTTTAAAGATAAACAGTTACATATTATTGATCATACGGTTCTTAGCATTTGAAGAGAGCCTTGGAATCATCTTTCTCCTTGTCTTTCTTTAAATTTATATTTACCATTAAGTGCTCTTGGAACAGAGTAGATCCAGCGTTTGAACCGGTGTGAGATCACCTTCATTCAAAACATAAACCACAAATACATAGTCAATTCTTAACTTTTTGATATGCTGAATTATATACTCTTACAAAATAGATCACTAATAATAACTAATTAATCAATAACATTTGTGACATTTTCATCAAAATTTATAAACAACAAAAAGAACATAGATCCAAGATAAGTCAATTGCAATTGCAAATTTTACTTGGCTACACATCTTTATGGTTAGAACATAGAATAATTTGACCATTTCTCCTCTATAGATTTCATTTGTGAACATGAACTAACAAAGCTTTGCGCTTCATATGTAGATGATCAAGTGAAGCAAGATACGTGTATAATAGAAACATAGAGATTCACCTGATTCGGATTTGACCATATATCTTGAAGTAAGAAGACAAGATAAAATATCAAAAAAAGTGTGAGGTTACAATCCTAAGAGTGTAAGGTTCTTTGCTGCTGTGACTTTCTGCTATTGAAAAAAAAAAAAAAAAACACAAACCAATTTAACAATTGTAAATTCTTAGGAGTAAAGAATCATAAGGCATTGAAGTAAAAAAGAGAAAGATTACAAACCTAACCTATGACCATACATTTTGAAGTAGCAAAGATTTATCTTTCAAACCCAATTTAGCAATGAGAAAGAGCAAGTGTAGCCTATGATCTTATGAAACCCCTTAATCAGCTTGTATCTTGAGCTTTTATATGGTGATTTTTTTTAAAGCTTTTAAGTAACACAGACCTCAAAACAAATTGATGATTTCACTTCAAAACAACTTTAGCACCAAGAGCTTTCAACTTCTAAACGATCTTCTCACCCTTTTCTTTAGACAATCTAATATTAGTATTTACAATATCATTTAATACTATTAATTAATTAAATAAATAAACACATTGGGTTAATGAATATGGTTTGAATGTAAATTATGGTCTGGTTTGGGTCCTTTTGGCTTTGGATGGTTTGTTTCGATTCGGTTAAAATGCTCACCCCTAATAATATTGATCCGATCTAATTAGAAAAGTGAATTATCTTAAAGTTAAAAACTGTTCATAGTGTTCAGATTTTAACGAACAAAAATACACAAAATTTTTTTTATGTAACTAATTATTGTGATCTAATAGTAAAAAAATGTATTTAAAAAAATCAAAAGATATATTAAATATTTTCGTTTGATTCAAATTATGCTTGTGTAGCACAAATAATTTTAAGAGAAAGAATCTAAGGTTTTTTATGTATAATAATCGCTGAAAAATATTTACAAATATCACAGTATAAAAATAATCTAACATTTGTAAAAAGTTAAACATATACTAAAAACATAAAATAAAAACAAACAAATACAAAGATTAACTATACCATATTTGTTTTGTAAAAGTAAGATACAAATTATTTATCAATGTATGAATAAATAAAATATTAAAATACGAGCAAAGGTAAAATACAGAATCCGAAAAACTTTTAAATTTTACCATAAATATTTTTATTAAAACAAAATTAATTTACAAAAATATATTCGGCATAAACCACTCGTTAAATTCACCTCATTCATGTTGTTCACTAAAACCCATTTTATGTCAAAAAACTTTTTTGAAATATAGTTATTCTGTTGTAAATATTAAATTATGAAAAAAATTAGAAATTCATTTGTCATTATCAAAAAATTTAAAAAAATTGTGTGTATTATTTTTTTTAATTTGAATGGTTATTTTTTAAAATTATGTGTTTTTTTTAATAAAAATGATGATGTGGCGAGCTGATGTGGCAAGCTGTTAAGCTGATGTGTATTAATTGAAATGTTTTGATTGGGTAAAATTTTTAATGATGTGTCACCTCCAGAACGGCTCAAAAAGCTGATGTGTCACTGCTGGAGAGACTTTTAATGTTTTTATTGTATTGATTTAGGAATTTAATACAGAAACGTATTATTTTATTTCTTATATCTCTTCAAAAGCTAAACATATTATTTTTCCTCTTATTCATATCAAAAACTCTTCCTATATAAAAAATTTAATTTTCAAAATTAATAATTCACCTGACCGTAATAAATATCAATTTTATCGAGCAAATTTTGATATATGCATATAAAAAATTGTTCTTTTCTCTTACAATTAACTAAAACAAAATATTTACATATGCTAATTATGTACATTTGAATATTTGAATTTTTTCACTATTCTTTTAACCAAAAAGGTAATCTAACTGAAAAACAAAATAAAAATTATATGCAAATTTCCATGTGTTATTGATCTATTAGATTTTGGAACTTAGATTTTGGAATGTATAAAAAAAGGTTAATCTATTTATCATCGATATTAACCAATAAAAAATTAGTGTAATGTTAAAAAAACGATATAAGTTATTTAATATCAATTTTATTGGATAAAAAATCTATTTGTTGTTGTATTGTAATTTTATTCATAATTAAGTGAGAAAAAGAGGTGAGTTTAAAAGAATGAATTATATTACTTGGGTGAAAATATTAGTATATTTTTAGTTATGTATTATTTCATAAATTTTAACGTATTAAAAAATTATTACTTAAGAAACTACAACATATAAAAAGAAGGGAGACTCACAAAAATGCCCCTTTTTCAATATCCCTTTTCAAAAATGCCTTTTTTGGCTGTCCATTTTTAAATATACCCCTTTTATGTACAAAATGACTAAATTACCGTTCTTTTAATAAAAGATATCACAAATATGTAAGGAAATATAACAAAATTAGGTCAACAAAATACAAAATATTTTTTGGCGGGAAAAGTGATCCCGCAATTTTTCCCGCCAAAACACTTGTAAAAACCTTTAAAATACCTTGTAAAATTTTCCCGTAAAATTTTTTCCCGCCAAAAATTTTTTTTTACGGGAAAAGTGATTCAGCAATTTTTTTGGCGGGAAAAATTTACAAGGTATTTTAAAGGTTTTTACAGGGTATTTATAAGGTTTTACAATGTATTTAAAAGGTTTTACAACGTATTTATAAGGTATTTATGTTGGTGTCGGATCTCGCACACCAGACCCGGTCTATTTTATCGAAGGCCCATCAACTTGCGGAGCCCACAAAACTTCACATATTGGGCTTATGAAGAGGTTAAATGCTCACAAAGTCAAATAGTCAAATCTTAGCATTGATTTGTGATAAAGTTTTAATTAATTGGTGAATTAATTCTCCAATTTATGGCAAATTAATGGCCGGAATTAAGAGAGGTCATATGTTACGAAGAGAAGGGGAGGCTATAAAGAGAAGAGGAAGAGATCGTTGGAAGGAGAGAAATTTTTTTCGAGAGAATCATATACATTACTTTTTCAACTTTTTTGCTCTTAATCAATCGATACTCGAACTTGCCGAGACTAGAGACCCATGCAAATTTACATTTTCTTGTATTGCGGATTCCGACATCCACAATTTGGCGCTAGAAGGAGGGGAATTCTAGTCTTTTACTCCAGAGTATCGATCGAAGATGACAAACATAGCGGATTCAGATTCAGTCCTCGACGAGATCAAGAGAATGCTTAAGGATCTATCCTATAAGATTGATCAGCAGCAGCTTGCTAGTGCTGCTCTGTCCGAAAAGCTTGCCGCGTTCGAAGAGCATAGCAACAGCCAGCTCGCGGTCCTTACTACAAGTTGTGCCG